AAGAAATTCTCTTCTATCTACTTCATTAATTTCTTAAGAAAAATAAGAATAACCGTCCTAAATGAACCGTAATCAAAGGTGATAGTAAAGTAATAATATCTTTATTGTATAACCAAGCTTTTTATTTGGTCAAGTGTTGACGTTACGCCGCCGACCCGACTCGAAAAAACTTTGGGTTCCGATCACACCTATATGTGAAATGTGTCGAGTTTCGGGTTCAAGATTTCTGCACTATCTAAAAACGGGTCGGATTCGAGTTGACGACCCCGAAGCTTGACCCGACTTAACCTTGGATCCTTGCATGATGACTGTGGCCTAAGCTCCAGTCCACTGTCAAACCACGCCGCGCGTGATAACTACGACCTATGCCCGTGTTGCCACTCTAGTTCGCTAGCACCATCGGCTCTGATTGGCAAGCCCCGACTTTGGCGACCTCCGTCCTATTTGCCGTGCTTGAGTTGCCTTCGACCTCTTGCATATACTTGCAGCCTTCCAGGTCGAGATCGAGCCCCTCCTCCATGCAAGTCCACCTCCTTGCGTCCTGCCGTCCTTCACTCCGATCTGCGTGAGATTCGACCCTCGCCCAGGCCCTACATCCCGTAGGCTCGCACACTCTAAACAATTTGTGCTGTGAAGGACAGGCATAAGCCTGGTTCTCGGGTCGGATCAGGTCAAATCCTGAATAACAGTCTGGTCGGTTTCGAGTTGGAAATCCTGACTCGTTTAGCTATACTGGTCCGGGTTCGAGTTTAACTCATTTACAGTCGGGTCAACTTGGTTTTAGACCCAATCGCTTGTTACACCTGAATTGACACCTAAACCACCATGAAGAATATCATATATATCTTTCACGATAATCATGTTGTTTTACTTGTAGTTTATTTGATTATGAAATGATAATTTCTATCGCTTATTTCTGAATTTCAAATAACTTTAATAGAATAGTTAATATTCATCTTAATGACGTGGATATGATAGTGTCTTCTCTTAATTGTAAGTCGATTTTAATAATGACAAGAACTTTTTAAACAATTTTTTTTATATTTAAATACGTTGGTAGAATATCATATTATATATCACTCACAAATAAATGCAAGTGAGCAAAAGACAAACATTGAGGCTAAAAAATGGAGTATAGACGTCCAGGCGAATGTCGTCGATAAACCGGTAGAAGTCCGCTTTGGGATAGAACTTGGCGAAGAGTGAATGCCCGACGTCGGGAGAATCCGACGTCTGTTTGGTGGCAGAGGAGAACTCCAGGCTTCACTTGGGCCAGAGATTTCGGCGTCATGAAAGACTCTGTTTGTTAATTGGAAGAATTTCGCACCACGCTGAAGTTGGGCAGCATTCCGCTCGTTTCCCGAAAATCCGGCAGAGTTCCGAAGCGTATTTCAGGCGATGGGAAGAGTCAGCGCGTGGCCGAGGGGAATTCAGCCTTTTCCCCTTTTCCTTCTTCTTCCCTCTTCTTCTGCTCTCTTCACTTCTCGTTCCTTTGGTGTAGAATGCAGGGCTCTTTTATAGTTTTTCTGGGATGACAATGGCCTGTAAAATAGTTGTGAGATCAGGGGCGAATTGTGAGTGTGTTTGAATGAACGGTCGATATTTGAAATCCTACGATCATCACCGTTCGTGGACATTTGAAGGCCTTAATGATGTTCAGGAATTTGCGATCTTGGGCTCTGTCGGATTCGTCTTCGTCGAGCCGCTCGATTCACGGTATAAGCTCCGTTACAATCGGAGACCGGTTTGGGTAACCTCAAGAGTTGCGTTCGAACCCTTCGCAATAGGCGCTTCGGGTCTTTGATTCGGTACTTCAGTTGGGCTCGTTTGGTCGAATTTGGTGTCGTTGGGCGTATTTTCCGAGACGCTCAGTTTGACTGTAGCTCGCTGACAAATTGGAAGTTCATAATCGCTTTTCGGAATTTTAATTTTTGAAGGTTTCCGAACTGATTTTGCCTCGTAGATTCGTGCCCAATCATGATAATTTTCTGATAATACTCAAACTATTTATTGTAATGTGTATGTGCGCAAGGCTGACTCGGCGAGCTTGCTCGATTTAGCTCGATATATTCAACTCTTAGGCCAAGTTGAATAGCTAATAAGCCTAAAACTTGAGCTAGTTTATGCTTAACTTCTTAGGATGGAGAGCGCCCATTTATGAAATATTTTAGTATAAATATTTTAATATATTAAAAATAAGCTATGACAAAAGATTGAAAATATTAAAAAATTTTTCTCAAATTTCTTATATTAAGTGATTCTCACTACTAAAAATTGAATTCTTGTTCAGATAACATTGTTATACGGTTTAAAACATAGAGTTGTAGTCTGTGTAAATGATTTACTATGCCAGCAGTTAACCGCCTTCAAATTGTGGCGATTAACTTCTCCTAAGGTTATTTGGGACGGCTTCTACTGCTCTTAAAGCAACTTTAGTACAAAATAAAATTTTGTACTAAGAAATCTGCTTTAAAGAAGTAGAGCAAACGTACAAACGTAAGCCTAAATAGTGAGCGTTAAACCAGCTGTGCATGTCCCTCTTATACTCACTAGAAAAACAGCTTTTATATATATATATATATATATAAATTTTGGGACATTTCGGCCAATTAAGAAAAACTTACACACACATCGCATATACAAGTCTCGAACCTAATACCTCTTAGTTGATAATCTAAGCTTCTAACCAACAGACCAAAATAAGCTCTGTAAATTCACTAACACCAACAACAACAACATCAAGCCTTTGTCCAGCTGCATGGGGTCGATTATATGAATTCTTTTTCGCTATTGTGTCATGTTAAAAGTCAAATTCTCACAAAAAATTTAATTTTGTTTTCTAAGTGGCTTGAAGATTCGTGCATGATTGATTGGATTTTGAGCTATTGCCATCAGTGACATTCAATTCCACGTGTCCGGGAGACGGCCCCCTAAATGAGAAAATAAAAAATGCTTTCTTCATGTTTCACGTTTCAGCGAAACAAAGTTTTGTTATGTCGGTGGAGCCACTTTCCACCAAGTTATTTTTATTGCCTTTCTTATATATATGCGAAAATTTATTACATAATGTGGCTTTTGAATTTTTTTTTTTTTCAAATTTTTTGGTCTATCTATAATAATAAGCATGTAAATATTTTTTCTCTTCCAATAAAAACAACCTAAATGATATCAAATTTTTACTTATTAATTGTTGCGGGCTAGAATATATGCGGCGATAGAGTTATAATCATACGTCTTAGCGTTATACGGATATCTAGCTCACACAGTGAACACAAGATTTTTTACGTGAAAAAATGTGGAAAGGGAAAAAATCATGGGGCCTAGCCCAGTTAAAAATAATTTCACTAGAATTCGAGTAGATTACAGTAGGTTGACTCGTCCTTAAGGGGTATCAGATTACAAATGCCAACATTATGGTTGAAATCTAGTGACAAATTGGGATGAAAATCTAGCGTCATTTGGTGGTTCGTCGGAAGTCTGGAGTTGGTAATTCGATGTTGGTTTGGCAAAACTTTGGCGTCGGGCGATGTTCCGGTGGAGCTCAGGGTGTTAGGTGGTGGTCATGCGGAGCTCAGGGCGTTAGGTGGTGGTCATGCGGAGCTCAGGGCGTTAGTTGATGGTCCAGTGGAGCTTAGGGCGTCATGTGGTGATCCTGCGAAATTCCTGGCATCATGTGGTGGTTCGGTGGAGCCCAGGGCATCAGGTGGTGGTCTGATGGAGCTTAGGGAATCAGGTGGGGGTCCTGCAGAACTCTGGTGGAGCTTAGAGCATCAGGTGTTGGTCCTGCGGAACTCCGATGGTGGTCGAGGAGGCAAGAGCAATCTCCGATCTCTCTCTTTTCTCCTTAGGATTAGGGGGTCCCTTTTCAAGAGTAAGGGAGGTCTATTTATAGATTTCCTATAGTGGAATGACCCATAAATAAGACGAGAATCAAGGGTAAATAGGGAGTGGTTTGGATGGATGACCGATATTGAATCCCTTGATCGTAAACATTTTGCTAGATATTTGAAGGTTTTAATGATGTTGGAATTCCATGATCTTGGGCACGATGGATTCGTCTCGTCGAGCCGCTCTATTCGACTATAAGCATGTCACGTTTGGAAATCATTTGATAATCCAAATTGTGGTTCAAACCTTTCAAATGTGCTTCGAGCCTTTGATTTGGACCAATTTGGGCTCAGATTTGAGTTGAGTTTGGTGTCGTTAGGCTTGTAATTTTGAGACATTCAGTTCGGCTATAAGTTTGCTGAAATCAGAGTTCAGATGGTCCCAATTTTAATTTTGTAAGTTTCCAACTTGATTTTTTCTCAATATTCGTAACCGATCAAGATAATTTTTTGAGGATGTATCATTAATATTATTATGATTGTTGAAAGAAAGAAAAAAAAAAACTAATAGACCTCCAAACTTAATATCAAAGTATAAAGTTGAATATTGCCCTAATTTTTATCATATTTTTATTTTTATCAAATCATAACAGCTCTTTTTAATTAATTTCAAAAAAAAATTATAATGTATAATACGTATTAGACTAATTCGAATAATATCTATAAGTAGAATTTGTTTGTCGGAATTTATTGTTAGATTTGTTGAAAAAGAAGTATGGAATAAATTGGAATATAGTATAAAAGTAATGCAATATATTTAAAATATTCGAAGTTGTTTGGATGAATGCAATATAAATGATGATCAAATTTGAGGGAGACGGTGATGACAGAGAGCAATTAGGAGATGAAAATGGTGGGAATTGGGAGAGAGATATGGTAGTGATAGACGGCAATGACGAGCGGGCACGAACAAGAGCGGATTAACTTACAATTTATTTAATGTTCAATTAAAAATAAGCAAATATAAAATACATCAAATAAATATTAAATGCAACAAAAGATCATACATAAAATTTCTTAAAATATTTATATTTAAAATAATTTAGAGCTATCCTTCGTCAGACTCAAACAGCCTCTGCCTTTCGTGTAAAGAAATTAGTAAATTACACTGGAAATTTTTGGCATTAAAATACTCGATCCTTCAGTCCAGCTCGGTCTAGAAGCTGCCGATCCTCTTTGTGGCTCCTCAGTCCTCTCTAATCCCTTCTCAAATGGGCGACCCCACCGGCGCCGATAACCGTCCAACTGCAGCTGGTCCGGCGATCTTTCAGGGAACAGACTACTCCATTTTCTGTACAACAGTAGCCCTCACCCTCTGGCTCGGCGCCATCCACTTAAACGCCGTTCTCATCATCGCCTCTCTTCTTCTCCTTCCCGCCCGCATCGCCGCCTTGTTTGTCCACCCTTCCTCCTTTTTTACTTAATTTCCTTTTTCTCTGTTTCTTGCGTTATATGTTGCTTTATTTTGCTTCTTCCTTTGCAGAGTCTTCGCAGTGCAGCTCTTCTTTATGGTGATTCCCCTGAATGATAAGGACAAGTTGGGGCGGAAGCTGGCAAGGTTCAAAATTCAAAAATTTTCTCCCGAAATGATGTGAGATTTTCTTAAAGCTGAATTTTGGGATGATTTTGGTTTGGGATTATTACAGATTTATCTGCAAATATGCGGTTGGGTATTTCCCTTTGACTCTCCATGTTGAAGACATTGAGGCTTTTGATCCAAATCAAGCTTATGGTGAGTAGCTCAAATCGATTGTTAACATCCATTTTTGTTACAAGACAGGGCATTGATGTCGAGGTTTTTAATTCAAACTGGGATAGGAGAAGGTGGGGTTTACTTGGAGTTTTAAGAGATCTAGCATAAATCCCAATACTGACGTTGGGAGTCATAGTTGATGCCGATGACGTGCATTGATAAGTGACGACGTGTGTTACATTATTAGTGACTGTATGTAAAAAATTTAGTATTCGCCAGAGTAGTTAGGCGATCATAGTTAGAAGATTATATGTTATTCAGACAACGGTGTTCGAATGGACGTAGCTGAGAAACGATTGTCAAAAAGATTATAGTTGGTGCAGTGGTTGGAAGGATTGTATTTAGACAATATTGGTTGAAGGATTGTAGTTGTGCGACAATATTTGAAAGGATCTTAGTCGGGTGCGGTGATCAGAAGGACTATATTAAGTTAATGATGATCTGAAGGATTGTAATTAAGTGATGATTAGGGATGTTAAAATAGGTTTTCGAATAGGGTTCAGATCAAACCTAAAATTGACCCGCTTCTAACACATTCTACTCGTTTGTCCAAATTAATGGGTTAAAAAAATCTAGACTAAAACTTTACTTGACACCAACCCGACCAACACAACCCAACCCACTAACCCGTGAGTGCAAGCAGGCGAGTGAGGGCCGGGGCAAGGGAAAGCAGACGAGGCCACTAGGGCTAGGACGAGCAAGGGATGTCGTGAGGGCAAGGGCAAGGTGGCAAGCACAAGCGCAATGGGCAAGGGGAGATTCAACCGAGTTAGGGTGGGTCAAATGAGTTGTTTTAGTGTTCGCAGGTTAATCTGTACCCGACACGATATATCAATTGGGTGAAAAAAATTAAACCCAAATCTGATCCATTTGTTAAACAGGCCGACTCAAATATGTAATTTTGGGTCGAGCTTTAGGGTCATGTCATATATTGACACCCCTAGCGACGATGACCAGAGGTGTAATGCCTCAAGATCTTATTTTAGAAGAATTGTCCATTCTATCACTTAATTAATCTACTAGAGTACTAATCTCATTTCGATAAATAAAAACCAACGAAAGCAATCTCTAAATTCTTTTCTTCAATTTACAATTTTGATCATTTCCCAAAATTTATAATAGTCAGGATATAAATTAATACATTATCTCTCTTTTTTAAACTCCTGACTATAAAAAAAATTTAAAATGCAGAACAAAAGAAAACTTGAGAAAGTTTGATCTGTCTCACTAAATTGGATCATACCTTCTTCCTAAAAACATACAAAAACTACGAAGTGAATTAACAACTCAGTAGGTGTGAAACCTCTTAAGTAAAATAAGCTAAACTCTTAAACATTAAGTATGCTGTAATTATTGAAATTTCTTTAAGAAAATCCACAGTTAAGCGTGCTTATTCTAGATAAATATTGGGATGAGTGACCTCCTGGGAAGTTATACCAACTAGACAAAATTGTGAGACCCTTAGCCCAAAGAGGACAATATCTCGATAGTTAAGAATTTGAGCTTTTATAAATGGCGTCAAAGCAATACACCAGCCAGAAGATGGGAACTAAGTGTCATACAAGACAAAGTGCTATGCCATGAGAGCAACCTCTTGAATCCTATATAGGATAAAGTGCTATGTGGCGGGAATCATCACTTGAATTTGTAGGGGCTACCTCTAGAATCTTATCTGATTGGTGGATAATTCTGGGATAAAGACATTGACATGAGCGCCAGTTACTTAAGTGGGGGAGATTATGAAACTCCTCAGGTAAAAAAAGCTAAACTCTTAAACATCAAGGCACCTTTTGGTGTAATGATTGAAATTTCATTAAGAAACTTCGCAGTTAAACATGCTCATCCTCGAGAAATCATAGGATGGTGACCTTCTGTGAAGTTACACCAACAAAACAAAATTGTGAGGCCCTTAGGCCACAACGGACAATATCTTAATAGTTAAAAGTTTGGTCTGTTACAGTATATTACTAAAACGTACAACTATAATCAATGCAAGATAGTGAAAGCAATATGCATATAATAATTCAATAGTATCAATATGAATATGCAGGCAATCAATGTGAATAGTGTCATATCATATGAGCAATATGATCAGTGCAACTATATATCTTATAAGCAATGATCAATAATCATATAAAGGATCAATAGATTCTATCATTTTTATTTTTGTCGGTTATAAAATAGTTTATATAATGATTTACGAAATCAATACACTTGTATTTATATATACATGTACAATATATGTGCAATGCATGAATATTAGGTTCCTATCAAATGCATTATTCCAAACATCAATTTTATCAATTATATCAGTCTTATATGTAGTGTCTTATATATATGCATGTTTTATAATATCAATATGATATATAATATGTATTATGTCACGACCCGGCCCGGATGCTCGATCTAACGAGGCGGGTACGAAAAGTCGGACGATAAAATTCATTAAACATAATACTACATCATTCATGATAAAGAGCCACTAAAAACACAAAATATATTTTACCTGTTGTCATTTGCTCATCGTCTTCTGTAAACATGTTCTTCTCTTTCTGCCATTTCTTTTCTTAGGAATTACCTGAAACATTTAAACTCGTGGTTTGAGTTTACTAAGTAAACTCAGTGGGAAATTTTTGTAAATTAATCATTAAAATTAATTAATTAAGATATTTTCAATCCTTTCTTAACCGTACTTCTTTCATTTCCTTAACTTATACTTCTCTTGATATTTTTCATTTATATCAATTTGAAGTAATTGTTATCTTTAATATTTCTTTTGTATTTCCTTTTCCCATATGATTTGCACAGGAGCACCGTCTCAAAATACCCAAAGATACTACCTTTTCCATATGATTTCCTTTTCCCATTTCCATAGAAATTTTCTTTTACTTTTTCGTGCACGAGTACGGCGTCCCCAACAAGTACTATAAGGGGGTGACTCCTGTCATTTTCAATACCCTTTTCCTTTATTCTCTTTTTCTTTTCTTTTCTCATTTTCATCCTTATTTTTTTCATTTCATATAACATAATTAACATGCATTTTCATAAATATTTCTTTTCTTGTTCCATAAGCTTTTAAACCTTTATAACATATAGATTCTTTCTTAAGACTATAAAATCATAAAGGTTTGCCTTCAACATTTAATAATATAAGATTTTTTTAATAAATTATTTAGAAAATTGAAATCATCAATAAAACATAAATAATATAATTTACCCACTTTAAACTTTTCAGGTCTTCGATGTTTGATCTACTTTTGAATCAATTTATCTTCTTGTTGAATCTTCGCGGGATCAATACTTATGATTTGATCTTTCACTTTCTAAAACCCTAATTTTAACAATAACTTCTATCAAAATAATATTTTGATTTAAATTCTAAATATCATTAAAACTGAAATTGGAAGGAATTCACTTACAATTTTGAATGGAGACTTCTCAAACTCTCAAAATCCTTCTTCTCCAAATTTTCTTTTTCTTCGCTTCAATCCCTTCCTTATCTTTCAAGAAACATATCATTCACTTTGGATGAAGTAAATGGAGGAAATTTATACGATAAATCTGAAAGAAAATCAACAAATCTTTCCCTTAATCCTTATCGTCCATTTCTCTTGTTCTTCAAATCTCTCCCAAAACAATACTCTAATAACGATAAGAATGAAAATGAATCATTATTTCCTGTCATTGAAAACAATCGTGTGCTAAAATTAGAAAAACGAAACTCACTTCGCTCTCCCGCACGAATGCTCTGTCGCCCGCTCCTCTCAGTTTCGCGCGAACTGTTCTGTTCCGCGACCCTTCTGTTCGTGGTATAAAATGGGTGGGCCGGCCGGTTCAGTTGAACCGGCCGGAAGAACCGGTTGTCACATATTATGTATATAATTTTGTTCATGTAAATCATATGCTTTTGTATCCATCTTATCAGTCATATCACGTGCTTGTATCAATCATATCTTGTATTATGTACAAGTCGTATTATATCATATCATTTATGCAATGTATCATGCGTGCTAATCTTATATACCTATATAAAAAATATAAGCAAGATTAGACATCCAATTATATGTGTCAGTCTTTCTTATTCAGCCTTGTAGGCCAATCCTATAAGAATTAGTCTAAATCATCTCGATTCTATTTTCAAGAATCAGTCTTATATCACATATCATAAGTCATTAATCAGGTGACTTTCATGTAAGAAGTTGTCACTTCCTGCTCGTCGATGTATCATATCATATCAATCAATCTCCTTATACCTCCATTTTTATATCACTTTGGATTACACTACAAACCTTATTTAAAGAAAAGCTTGTCGGCTCACCCTCTTCTATAGGGTAACATGTATCTAGCCAACCTGAATCAGCTAATCATTTCTAGTTAACCTAAATCATTAAATAGTTTGCAGCCAGCCTTTCTTGCTTTTACATATATTTCAAATCATATAAAGAATAATCCATATACTCTCAATGCAATTATTAGTATACTCATTAGTATGCATGTAGTATACCAAAATGCATATTCACCTAACTGAACATAGAATGTATACATATAATGTATTTTATGTCTAGAATAAGTCTCATATCACAAGTCATCAATCAGGTGGATTTCATGTAAGAAGTTATTTCCTGCCTGAGCGTATTATGTGTTGACATTAGTCTTAAGCTAACATAGCCATTCTCTTGTCTTACCCTCTTCCACTTGATCCATTTTGGACTCTTTTGACCACCAATTTACTACATCCACATATATTAACATCCGCATGCTATATGATTTTTCAAATCATTATTTGACTTGCCATCTCAGCATCCTACTAAGCATGGCTCGCCCATTCCCCTTTTTGTCTCTCTTGAATTTAAATAAAAATTTCAAAAAAGTCTTGGAATTGACTAAAATTGCTCCATAACTCTCTCCCATAGTTTTAATGTATAACACATTAACTTAATTCTTCTATAATTTGCACAATCTTGTGTATCATCTTTATTCTTAAAAATAAGAATCAATAAACTCATTATATACTCTTCTGACATCTTTTTAGTCTTCAAAATAATATTAAAAAGTTTAGTAAGCCAAGAAATTCCTTCATATTTTAAACATTTCCACACCTCTATTGAAATATCATTAGGCCCAACAACTTTTCCACACTTTATTTTTTAAAGCCACTTTAACTTTAGTTTTACTAATACACCAACAACAAGAACAACATCAAGTCTTTATCCCACTACGTGGGGTCGGCTACATGAATCCTTTTTCTCCATTGTGTCCTATTAAAAGTCAAATTCTTGTTTAAATTTAATAAAGAAAGGTCATTTCTAATACTTTCCAACCAAGTCTTTTTAGGTCTGCCTCTACCTTTCTTAACATAAGTTAAATCTAATACCTCTACTCTCCTAACAGGGTCATCGGGAGGCCGCCGTTTTATGTGACCAAACCATCTAAGGCGACTCTCTCTAATCTTTTCTTCTACTGGAGCTACTCCAACCTTTTACTAATACATTGACAAAAATAAAAATCTCTATTTTCATTTAGGGTGCTAAGATGACTAAAGTCAATCATATTCTCACAATCTTCATTGAAAAGTTTAACATAATATATCATCCCCCTTTGTTGAATATCCACGTCTAATAAAAACACTTTTTTTGTATTCATCCTTAATTATTTCATTTGAACTATATCCTTACTACTCATATCTCTTTATTTGACTAACTTATATATAAATTTTTAACCCTCCTCAGTATCTAATATATTAATAAATCATTAGAAGCTAAAATCTTTACATTGCTTATTACTTTCTTAGACTCTTTACGGGTCTCTTTATATATTTTACAATTTTTAGAGTTTTTACATCTAAACCGACTTTTATAAAAATGCTTATTTTTTAATATTTTCTTGCTCATTTTGATTCACTACCAACTATTTTTATTATTATGAGTTTTTTTCTTTGATACTCCAATACATCCTTTGCAATATTCTTAATATCACAAATTATTTTTTCCCACACAACATTTGCTTTTTCATGCACAGATAAAATCTCAAGATCTAGAATCTTACTCTCAAAAATAATTTTGTTAGCGCTCTTTAAATGCCCCCATTTAATCTTAGAACAACGTTTTATTTTATTTTTTATATTTTGCCTATTCAACTTAAATTTCAAAACTAATAAGCGATGTTCGATATATAAACTTTCACTTGAAATAACTTTATAATTTTTGTAATCTAAATGATCTACTTTTCATATAAAAAATAATCAATCTTTGCAACCCAAAGTGTTAATGAACAAAATATTTTTTTTTCCAACACTAGCAGATCTTCAATAGTGTCAGCGTTTCTTTTCCTATTAATTACACTAGCAACCGAGAAAAACAATTAGAGATGGTTTCATCATCCTTCGTGTGAGCTTTCTCAAACTTGGCTCAAATATTTTGAGGTAAACTTGCATCACCAAGCTCACACTTTTACAGATGTTGCTTAGGTGATGTAGAACTACGTATGAATGCGATGATTTTGTAAGATCTTGTACAACTTTTGATTAATGAATAATGAAGAAAACAACAAGCATTTAAAAACGACAAAATAAAACGAGAGAGGGGTCACACCCGCTTAGGCTAAGTCATATAACCAGAGATTTAAAACTTTTAAAATAAATTAGAAAATAACATCATGCCGGAATAGTAGTTTCAATAAAAATCCCTAATCTAACAATAAGAATTAGTAAGCAAAGAAGTACACCCAAATCCCTACGTTTACTAAGCTTTAACAGAAGCAGATGGAGGTATCCTTTGTGACTACAATCAACTCACAAGAAAGATTAGGCTAATGAAAGACATGAAAAGGAAGAGTAGGAAAAATCTTCGTCAAGGATTGGTGGCGATCCTCCACTTGACATTCTATAACTGTTCTTCAGTAGCTTCCACCAACGTGTCCAAGATTCGTTCGATGTAATCCTCGACGGAGTGATCGATCATCGGGTTGATGTAGAAGAAGGTTGAATGTAAAATGCACACAAATCCGTGCTCGTCGTAGGTTAGGCCATATTTAGTTTCTGGATCGGCCATGCATGGATGCTTGATGACGAAAGTTCTCCCAACGATTATTAGCACTCTTGACTATTGTTGAAGAGAAAGAAGTTTCTCGTCAACGGAACGTTGAGAAGAGGCCGGCCAAGGAAGGAGAGCTCAAAGGGTTTTGCTTTGATCTTGAGAGAGACAAGAAATAAAATCTGAAAATAATTTCAGATTTTATAAAGAAGGGGATTAGAATTTGAAATAAATTCAAAAGGGAAAGGGAGGGGGAAGGGGTGGCGGCAAGGAGGGAGGCTAGGGATTTTTTTCCAAAATCAATGTTAGATTTTGGAAAGAAATAAGGAGGTATGAGGGCTTTGAAAATTTCGGCCAAAGAGGATTTGAGAATTTGAAATTATTTCGGGTTTAGGAAATAATTAATAGAGAATTAATGGGATAGGGAGAGAGGGGGGCCGGCGGCATCATAGGGTGAGAGGGGATTGGGGGCAAGTGATTGGGGGTTCCTATTTTGGATTTAGGATTTAGGAAAGACTTAAATTAACTGCAATTTAAATTTGAAATTCAAATAGGATAAATTTAAAAACTTTCCTAAATAGATTTAAGAATTTAAGGAAGATTTTAAATTTCAAATTATTTAGGTTTGAATTCAAAATCTGCCCCACTTACTCCAATCCAAATTAGGCAATGAAATTTTAAATCTGCCCCACGTACTCCAATCCAAATTAGGCAATGAAATTTTAAGGTGGGAAGGAGGCTAGGGCTGGCGGGTTGAGGGGGTTTCGCGTAAGGTGGTCGGCGGCTAGTGGGGGAAAATTTGTGGAGCTCGGTTGGGAAGAGATGATGGCTTGGAGATGGAGATGGTTGGGATGTAATGATGTCCGCCGGTGCTGGTGGAAGGGGAAAGGAAAAAAGATAAGGAAGAAAACCACGAACCCGGCCGCCTCCAAGGTTGGTGGGTGATCCGATCTCCCTCTCTTAGGGATTTCTCTCCAATCAAACTCTCAAGCTCTCATAAGAACTCATGCAAGGAAGAATTTTTTTATCAATCATTTATTACTTGAAAAAATAAAACAAGGGGCTATAAATAGCCTAGTACATGAGACTCAAGAAATAGAAAGACGAAAATGCCATCGGGGCTTACATACGACATCTCTTTACTATAAGGGTACGACGAGAAATAAAATAACATAAAATAAAACGAATACAACGACTCATAAATAAAACAATACATAACATAAATCAAAAGTACAATAAACAAATCGTGGCTGTAGATCGGCGGCCACGCCTTTGATAAACTTTCCATGATCTGATGTCCCCATCATTAGGATATCCCAGGCAACTTTGCATATGTTTGCTTCTGCAATCTTGTCAAAAATGCCTACGTCTTCTCCTTGGCAGATAAAATTGATACCCTGTGATCCTTCATCTTCTGCTCCTCTAGGAGTTTTCAATAATCTGCATTAAAACTAGCTTTTTATGGTTAATTAAGTTCAACTCCCATAGTGAGGATCTCCCAACAATCTTGCGATCCTAATGATGTTCACATCTGGATTTGGTATCTCTCGTAAAGAACCTTTTTATGCTTGGGGATGTGAGGTTGCGCCATGTTAACACCAACCTTTATGGTAGGAGGCATTTTCTGTCACAAAATTTTTCATTTAAAATAGGATAGGAGGAACTGATGGGCTACTGAGGTGGTTACTTCACACCATTTTAAAATTTCACATTTCTTCCATATCTGTTAGCTCACTCTCTTTTTCTTTGTGCACATGCACACACATGCATATAAGAGAAGGAGAGAGAAGAGAGGAGAAGCAATATTATGACAGTAATTTTCTTTTTTTTTTTCTCTCTTTACTTACATTTGGTATAAAGGCAGGATTATCAAATGTTGTATTATATTTTAAATGAAACTCAGAAAGCTCCTCAAGCAGTAATATAAATTTTGAAAACCCCAAACGAATGCTCCTCTAGTTAATCTCCTTAAGTGGAGTACGCTTAAAGCTTGTACCTTTCCAATATAACTGCACTATCTATTTGTGAATTATGTGAAGGAATCTATTGATTGCAGTGTTTGGTTATGAACCACATTCAGTCTTGCCCATTGGTGTTTGTGCTCTAGCTGACCTTACAGGTTTCATGCCACTACCAAAGATTAAGGTCCTTGCAAGCAGTGCTGTAAGCTTTCCTTTACACATTGTTACATTCATTCTGAGAGTTTTGTTGTTCAAGGCTCTACCTTTATCTTATTTAATCGACCTTTATTTGGGTTCAGGTCTTCGTTACACCATTTCTTAGGCAGATTTGGACATGGCTGGGGCTAGTTCCAGCCTCGAGAAGGAATTTTTACCAGTACTTGGAAGCTGGTTACAGCTGCATCATTGTGCCTGGTGGCGTACAAGAGATGATTCACATGAATCATGATTCAGAGGTTTGAATTCTTATTCGGTAGTGTTTACATTATTTTGCTTAATCCTGTTAATTCGTTCAATTTATTGTTAAGAAATTTAAACCTTTCTGCTTGGCGGGAAACATGATACTGGTTTTTGTGATGACAACAAATAGGACCTTGCTTTTAGTGATAGCTGATAAGGAAAGATGAAATGGTGGGAACCGTGATTTTATAGGTGAATGCTCATGTTAGAAACTTTCTGTTTGTTCTAAAAATTGTCCTCTTTACCCAAAATAAATCCCAGTGCACAGTGTGGAGGTTCTTAAATAGATACTTTCTTGCATATGATGTAGTGAATTTTACTAAACTTAATTCTGATAAAAACCTGATGTGTATCATTTGCGCTGATTTAAAATAAGGATGGATGGAGATTTTATTTCCTGCAGAGTCAACTTTTTTTGGGTCCTATCTTAATGCTGAACACGTTTTCTCAAAGTTATCAATAAGAAAATCCTTATATTTTGCAATTAATACTTTATATCATTAAAATTGAAGTAAAGAAAAAAAATTATGTAATTCATGTCAATAGGAGAAAGAAACATGTGTGAAACAATAGAAGGATATAAAATCTAAGTACATGCGTGCATTATGCACGCTATTTAATTAGGCCACAAATTGAACATTTATGATTCTTGTAAAGGCCATCATGAAATTAGAAATATTATATTCTGATGACTATTTGAGCTGCTAAATAATAAACCAAGTTTAGTAATTGGTGCTAGATCTTCACTTAGAATTCTGTATAACCGCAACATTTGATCTTTTTGATGATAACAAAGCTGTCCTATCAAGAAAACTCTAATTGGATTTCGGATGTCTCTAGCCCACAAGTATGGCGCCGCAACGCTGCGAGATTGGCTGACAGTTTTCTTTCTCATTTTTCATTAAGGGTTGCATCCTTGGTGGTTTTGTATTTTTTTCTTTGTATGTTTTGGTGTGAGAGCAGTGCAAGGGTGAAGAGAAGCAAGGAGAGATTGAGAGAGAAGAGATATTTGTACTATTTCTCGTAATTTTTTATAGTGAATTTTTTTGGTATAGTGTGGTTCCGTGTTTTTTCACCGGTTTCAGATTTTTCCATGTTAAATCCTGGTGTTCTTTATTTCCACTACATTTTCTCTTTCTTGTTTATGTTCGTTGAGTAGTCTACTTCCCCTTTTTCGATGCTTGGTTTTCTCTTTCTTTTAAACCACACATCGAACACAAACAAGAAAGTTAAAATGCAGTGGAAATAAAAAACACTAATATTTAATATGAAAAAATCCGAAAAAAAAAACTATGGATCTACACTAAACTAAGAAATTTACTATAAAAATTTGGCAGAAATAGTATAGATTTTTCTTCTCTCACTCTGTTCTTGCATCTATTCACCCATGCACCGTTCTCACAGAGAACATACAAAACCACCAAGGGATGCAACTCTTAATGAAAAACTAGATATAAAGCTGCCAGCCCGTCTCTTAGCACTGTGGCGCTCAACTCTCTATTTCTAGTTTGCCTAATAGTGTCGCAGAGCCGGGAACTTGAGCGTCGTAGCGCTCCGCTCTTTGTCTTTCTCCATGCAAACTATGTAGCGCCAAGACACTCGAGTATAAAGTGCCGCTGCGCTGTACAATTGTATGGAAAAAAAATTTAGTGCAAAGCACCCAAACCCAAGCATGGAGAGGACCCCTGTAACCACCTAGCGAGCATCTCAACAGATTGAATTGAATTCCGAGGCATTAGTACAATCGGATTGATCAATACAATTAGATTCCATATAGAATTAACATCATCATGAATACCAGCATATTGCAAAGCTAGCTTTAATATATTCAGGTACGTAAAAGTCTACTGAGATGCTAGCATAAAACCTATTTGATTTATCTGCCAAGTTGTGTTTTCCAGTTTTATCCTTCTTTTTTATTTTGAAATTCGCCTTCTAAAGACAAAGCTTATGATTCATTGTCAATATTATAGGGAAACCTTTCTTATATAATAAGTTTATGCTCAGATTTTTGTTCTGGTTTTTTAATTAGGTCGCTTTCCTTAAACTGAGGAAAGGATTTGTAAGGATAGCAATGGAGACTGGGCGACCACTGGTCCCTGTTTTCTGCTTTGGTCAGGTGAGGACTTGTACAGTGACACATAATTGGAGAAATAGTTGGTAACATTTGCCATAAATTCATGATAGAAATAATGCAAATAGTTGGTTACTCCTTGTGACATTGTTATTTATAATTGAATAGTTTACGTTATATTGTTTAGTTGAAGATATCATGGAAATAAAAAACACTAATATTTAATATGGAAAAATCCGAAATCAGAAAAAAAAAAAAAAAACTACGGATGCACAGTAAACTATGAAAATTTGGGAGAAATAGTACATATATTTCTTCTCTCACTCTGTCCTTGTATCTATTCACCCATGCACTGTTCTCACATTAGAACATACAAAACCATTAAGGGATGCAACTCTTAATGAAAAACTAGATATAAAGCTGCTAGCCTGTCTCTTAGCACTGTGGCGCTCAACTCTTTTTTTCTAGTTTGTCTAATAGTGTCGCAGAGCCGGGATTTTGAGCGTCGTGGCACTCCGCTCTTTGTCTTTCTCCATGCAAACTATGCAGTGCCAAGAAACTTGAGTATATAGTGCCGCAACACTGTACAATTGTATGGAAAAAAAAAATTTAGTGCAAAGCACCCAAACCCAAGCATGGAGAGGGGCCCTTGTAACCACCTAGCGAGCAGCTCAACAGATTGAATTGAAATTCGAGGTAATAGTACAATCCGATTGATCAATATAATTAGATTCCATATAGAATTAACATCATCATGAATACCAGCATATTGCAAAGCTAGCTTTAATATATTCAGGTACGTAAAAGTCTCCTGAGATGCTAGCATAAAACCTATTTGATTTATCTGCCAAGTTGTGTTTTCCAGTTTTATCCTTCTTTTTTATTTTGAAATTCGCCTTCTAAAGACAAAGCTTATGATTCATTGTCAATATTATAGGGAAACCTTTCTTATATAATAAGTTTATGCTCAGATTTTTGTTCTGGTTTTTTAATTAGGTCGCTTTCCTTAAACTGAGGAAAGGATTTGTAAGGATAGCAATGGAGACTGGGCGACCACTGGTCCCTGTTTTCTGCTTTGGTCAGGTGAGGACTTGTACAGTGACACATAATTGGAGAAATAGTTGGTAACATTTGCCATAAATTCATGATAGAAATAATGCAAATAGTTGGTTACTCCTTGTGCCATTGTTATTTATAATTGAATAGGTTACGTTATATTGTTTAGTTGAAGATATCATCTTTAAAGTTTCTAATCTTAAACAACAAATTGTTCCTTTATTGACGAATTTCTACCTGCATCATTTCTGATGAATTTTTAGTCGCATGGATTTATTTGTATCCATTTGTTTACCTGGAGCAGTCTCATGTCTACAAATGGTGGAAGCCAACAGGGAAAATCTTTGTCCAGATTGCTCGAGCAATCAAGTTCACTCCTATTATCTTCTGGGGAAGACTTGGGTATCTCAAACATGTCTTGTTATGATATTTCGCAAATTTTAACTAGCGGGTTCTGCATTCTCAGTGTTTCATTATTTAGCTAGGCTTATTGTTTAATACACTCGTTGGCTTTACTATCTTTTTTGTCACTTTGTAGATCTCCAATACCTTTTAGGCAACCTATGCATGTTGTGGTAGGTAGGCCCATTGAGCTCAAGAAAACTCCAAAGCCCTCGAAGGATGAGGTAAAGTCCCATCCAGTTCTTTAATGCACGCTATATTTTTGAAAAGCTTCTTGATGGGAATGAAATGATATGACAATCGTCTAAAGAAATTTGTTCCTCTTGTAATCGTCACCATCCTCATTAACCTTATCTTAAGTATTTGATGTTCTTATAAATACTCATTTTTCATTTGATAATTGAGTGTTGGACGAGAGGCTAAATCTATTTTGAGCAAATTCTTTCTTAACAATTTCTATCAATGTTATTTAAATATATTCATTTGCTTAGTTCTTTGTCACTTGTCCGTCTATCTAATCGATGGATTTTCTTTGTAATATATTCAAATGATGAAATTTTATTTTTACCTTTTTTCACCAGCCTTCTAGAACAATAATTCCTCAATTTATGCCTCTTGTTTTTCCACAAATGCATATTATCATTACTATTTTAACCATGCGAACTTGACTATCAAAAATGTCTGTCATAGAAACTCTCATGTTCATATAATATAGTCAGTTTTATAAAGTTGCTCCCCTAGTAGTAAGTCATTTTTATCTGCAACTAAAGTATTCCGCTTTAATGAAGTTGTATCTTTTATTGCATATATTGCAGATAAATGAGGTTCATGAGCAGTTCATTTCAGCACTGGAAGATCTTTTTGAAAGATACAAAGGAAGAGCAGGATATCCTGACCTCCATTTGAGAATTCTATGACATCTCAGCATTGCAACGATGGCTTGGAAAACAAGCTGGATCATTGTAGTTCATCCTTCCAAACTTTAAAAAATCCTAGTAAAAATAAAGAGGCGTAGGATTGGAGGATGATGATGTAACAAAACAATCAGTCTCCAGTCACTCCTAGAGCTTCAAGGTCAGTTTGTATGGAATTATATTCTAGTGAAATAGAACGAAATCTTATAGTTTTCCATGTGAAATATTTGTCACACTTTTTTCTAGCTTTTTCGTATCATCATTTTGATTTGATGGCTTTATAAGCAAGCAAAATAAAGGTAGTAGACTAAAGGAATTATGGGAGACAAAATCACAGAGCTCTTTTTGTATAACTAAGAATTCGCTGAAATGCTAGGGCAAGTTCTGGTGTTGATTCAAAATGCTTTTAGGACTGTAAGAGCCCATTGAAATGTAATTTTGAAATGTTGTCACGCAAAGCAGGTTGTAGGGGTGTTCAACATGTCTAATTCAGATTTGCTTCAATAATGATTGAACTTAGTGATGACTGATGACAGCTGGAAAATTTGACCCACTTATTAAATGAGTTGAAGATCAAGAGATGAAATTGAACATATTTATTGTTGGGATAAAAATGATTTCTTACAAATAGTCTATGATTATTTAACCTTTTTCTCTAAAATGGACATGATGATTAGATTTGTATATGACAACTAAAAAAGAAGGGTTTGAGCTTTTATCGGAATATAGATGAATTCCATTTTTAGATGGGTTAAATTCAAGTTTTGGTTTGGCTCACATTAAGGTGACTAGATTTTTTTTTTCTTTTTGGTTTCTCTTTTTAAGCATGCAAAAAATGTGTGTCTTTTTGCCAAATTCCATTAGTAAGTATTTGAACACCAAATCATGATAATCACCAAATCATGTGACCATTGGATAAGTAGAACAATTTGAGGTGTGATGAACAGAGCCCTGCATTGGGTACCCATACTCACATCCACCCATGTACCCACCCATACATTGGATAAGATTGCTTCATCCACCCAATGGGTATGGGTGGGTATGGGTACTCTCATAGCCTTGTGGGTGGATATGGGTGGTTACTCAACATTGGGGGATAAATCAATTTACATTGATAATCATTGTATATCATATATTACTACAATCCTCACTACATAGTGTGCACAACTTAACCACACTGCAACTACGATAAATTCTAATATGCTTCTTGAAAGTTTTCAATTAGAGCAAAGGGAAACAAGCCTCATCGCCATCAATTTGTGGCAGACTGCGTTCAAAAAGCATGAAAAGTGGGTGGGTATAGGTGGGTATGGCATCCCAAAAGTCATCATGGGTGGGTGAAGCCCGTCTAAGTAAAGCATTGGTACTGAATGGGTACCCAACCAGGACCCCATGTAGGGCTTTGGTGATGAATTAAATCAATCTAAGGATCAACCTTTTCAACAATAATAAAAAAATCAACCATAATGTAAAATTCATCGCCTTGGCAATATGCCATTTTCTATCATTGAGATTATCAACAACTGCTACATCTTGTGGAGGTGTATTAGTGGTATTGTTTTTTTTTTTTTTATTCTTATTTAAAAAATTTGAAGGCACCGCAAGTACCAAAGGTTCATCCCTTGTAGACTTCCCACTAGTCAAAGGAGGGTGATGATGCATATGCACATCCTTCGTCTCTTCAAGAACAAGGAAAGATTCATTTCAGCAATATCATTAGAATTAGTTCCATCTGAGTGTAATTCTTCAGCCACCATAAATACATTCTCAGATACAATATGCCCTTTAATGTCTACTCCACCAGCACAGTTACAAAAGCAACTTTAGGAAGAACCTGCACATTATAAACATCCTGAATGTTCTTGGCCTTATTAGATTAAAGCTTCGTTTGGGACAGCTTTCTTACTGCTTCTGTTTGGGACAGCTTTCTTACTGCTTCTTAAAGTAGCTTTCTAGTATAAACATTTTAATTTTTATATTAGTAATCTCCTTTAAGAAGCAGCAAAAAAGTCATCCCAAATGAAACCTAAGATGACACACCTGATCTTCACCTTCTTTATCTAAATCATTCCTTAATTCTGGATAGAGAGAAAAATAAGAAGCAATCTTATGATTGCTGCAAACCAAATTCAATTTTTTTCTTGGATGCAACGTCTAGCTCAGAATTGAACTAGTGGCTTGGAGTAGGAGTTGAGCAACCCGAGTTATTTAATATGTAAGTTCATAGGGCAGGCTCTTGGCATCGAGAAGTTCCACTTGAAAGATTTTCAATGCACACTGAGCATTGCTCGATCTTTTGGTAACCATCTAAACAAAACCAAAGTTCCATAAATAAGGCCCCTTTGGTATGCGCAGTTCTTTTCATGGCAGTGTTGATTACTTCTACAATTTCTTGGTTAAATCCCCAACTTGAGTGAATAATAAGTTCACTCGACAGCTTGTAGAGTTGTTCATCGATGCTAGCTTCTTGTCAGATACCTAGATGAATCGTCATTCAGTTAATATTACACCAAACCTTCAAAGATTTTTCTTTTCAGGCAATAATTTTGACAAAACCCCTCTAGAATTTGCCATCCCAATATATAGAATATCTCATGCATGTAACTAGCCATGTAATAGCCCTCTTCTTACATATGAAGCTCCATCCTTTGTGCCTGGCGCCAGTTCCTTACTCTCTACAGCTCCTGATTGTCGAAGGTCCTTCCTATTTAAATGGATACACAAACTTAGGTGGATTTTTTTTCGAATTCCTCTACAAGCTTTAGATTACTGGCAGTTCCTTTCCTCTTTAAAAGTTGGTATGTTTTGTGTGGTTATGTGCTTATTCTTCAATGCACTTATTTGCTCATTACGTCTTGCTTCTGAATAGTTTTGAACAAAATTGTACTTTTTTTCCCTCTTTTAACCTGTGAATAGTTCGATTATTCATCGCGGGTAGGTACTCGTTGCTTGCATTTTTTTTTACATTTATGGAAAGCCTTTGACCTGAAGGAAAAGGAGTCATAGCTGAGAACAACAGTGCCATGAACTTTTCCTTCACCACCAACAATGACATCAACTAGTCAGCCACTATGCAGGTCAGGATGGAGAAACTTGATCTCCTTCTTTGGTTTGTATTGCTACTTGTTGACCTCATTTTTGAATGAGGTCATTGTCCTATATCAAACATTAATCTCCATTCATCAATCATTTGAACCATATTTCAAACTCTAAATCAAACCCTGTGCTATGTTTTGGCATAGTGCATTGATCATTAACAAATAAAATCATCACTTGACTATCACCCTTGACTATCATTTAATCATATGATCTACCACTTGACAATCACCAAATAATTGTTAGTAATATGATCATTTCAAACCTAAAATTTCTCTAATCATTGGCCTCCATTGGTTAATTCAAAACCTAAATCAGAATCAAGTCTTAAATCCATCAGTTGACAATCCCTAATAATAGCCAGTTGATCACTTGTTCAATCGCTGATGATCATCAATGATTGTCAATGATCTAAACATTTCAAACCCTAAACCCTCCTAAATCATTGTCTAAATCAAATCTAAATTTAATCTAGTGACTAAACTCATTCACAATTCAAAACTCTAAAATCTAGTGTTATAACCAAACTCAAAATCCCTTGGTCCATAACTTGTTTTTGATTTGTCCTTTTTTTCCCTCTTTTAACCTGTGAATAGTTCGATTATTCATCTCCGGTAGGTACTCGTTGCTTTCATTTTTTTGGACATTTATGGGAAGCCTTTGACCTGAAGGAAAAGGAGTCATAGCTGAGAACAACAGTAACATGAACTTTTCCTTCACGACCAACAATGACATCAACTAGTCAGCCACTATGCAGGTCAGGATGGAGAAACTTGAGCTCCTTTGATTTGTATGGTTACTTGTTGACCTCATTTTTGAATGAGGTCATTGTCCTATATCAAACATCAATCTCCATTCATCAATCATTTGAACCATCTTTCAAACTCTAAATCAAATCCTGTGCTATGTTTTGGCATAGTGCATTGATCATTAATAAATAAAATCATCACTTGACTATCACCCTTGACTATCATTTAATCATATGATCTACCACTTGACAATCACCAAATAATTGTAAGTAATATGATCATTTCAAAGCTAAAATTTCTCTAATCATTGACCTCCATTGGTTAATTCAAAACCTAAATCAGAATCAAGTCTTAAATCCATCAGTTGACAATCCCTAATAATAGCCAGTTGATCACTTGTTCAATCACTGATGATCATCAATGATTGTCAATGATCTAAACATTTCAAACCCTAAACCCTCCTAAATCATTGTCTAAATCAAATCTAAATTTAATCTAGTGACTAAACTCATTCACAATTCAGAACTCTAAAATCTAGTGTTATAACCAAACTCAAAATCCCTTGGTCCATAACTTGTTTTTGGTGAAATTTCCATTGCCTTAAAACCTGACCAAATGACATTGGGCTTATGATATATCAGTTGCATGTTGATGATGTGATTGTCGGTATTTCAAGATCTCTAATCCCTAAAACTCAAAGCATTTCCATAAGCTAGAAAACTCAAAGCATTTACTGACTATGACATATTATGATTTTGACTTTGAAGGCCTCTACAAACTCACTTATCATGATCATCATCACTAGCATGATGCATTAAACTACAATTGAACATTGGTTGACCACAAAATCCAAAAAACCTATACATTGGAAATTGAATAACCCTTAAGCCTCAACATGGCTGAATTAAACTAAATCATGAAACCTATTTTAACATGTTTAGAACATCATTTGACATGCATTAAACTAAAACCCAAGCTATGATCATCCTTGGTTGACCAAGTCAAGCTAAGTTGACCATATAGAACCATTGAACCCTAAAGCTACATTTCATACATATGAGCTTTACCATTGCATGAAACCCTTTCTAATGTGTTCAACACATCATTTGGAATGTAATGAACCAAACCCCAACTCATAAGTCAACATGGTTGATCAAGTCAACTAAGGTCGACAAAGCATGTATACAATAAAATCCATTACAAATCCAGTGACTAAAGCATGACTAGACCTATTTGAACCTATAGGGCTGTCCATAGGATCCAAGGAGCTAAACTTAGGTGACCAATGCATTGAACCCACTTGGGTTAGCCACTTGGCTTGACCCAATTGGTCAAAAACTCAAAATCACCATACATTGAACCAAATTCAAACCTAGAGCTAGACCTGTCAATATTGGAACCCGAACCCGACCCGTGACCCGTTTTTGACAGGTCTACCTAGAGCCAATTGACCCAAGCTAGCATTCCCATTGCATTCCCTATAGTGCATTACATCTACCTTGGTTAACCCAGCCCTTAGGCTGACCTGAATACATTGGGCTAGCCCAATGTCACTCTATGTGCCTAAATCTAGATAGCTTGCATGCTTGATTAGCCCAATCCTAATTGACATTTGAATTGAGCTTAGGAACTCTCTAGACGCCTCTCCACGTCAAATACTCACATGTGGTGGTCAAAATCTGTCGTAATCTTGATAACTGTCAGTACGTGACTCACGGGCTGAGCCAACCCTTGCAACCAAGGTGAGCACAAGCCCATGGAACTTCAAGAACTCTTCCATGAACCCTTTGAGACCTCCATGACCCGACCTAGTGGCCTAAGGCAGATGAACAAAGCCTAAATCCCTTCTACATGCGGTCTAAAAATTTATGAATAGCCATGTTTTTCTCTGAACAAGGATTGGCTACCTTGTTTCGTTTTGCTTCCTGGGTGTGAGAGCATCCTTCGCTCTGCTTCCCAGCTGTCTGTGTGAGGTCTTAGGGAGACTTCGAGCAAGGTTCAGCGATCATTCCATCGTGAAGTTTCAACTCCCAATTCACCCCTCCTCTGATCAAAGTTTCTTGAAGATAAAAGTTCTTTGAAGTCAGTGGATCAAGCCTAAAGTTAGGCTAAGGCAATTAGAAATTTCTGTCAGGCAATCTCCCATTCCTGATCTTCATCTTAGCTAGGTCTGGGCAATTGTGAAAAAAAAAAGTTCAATCCACACGGATCATATCGTTGAATTTAATGTTCTTGATCTACTAATGCTCTATGTGAAGTTTAAACCAATTTCGTCCAGCCAATCGTCGGGATCTTGTCGGAATGTGTTTACCGTTAGGAATATGAACGAGATGTTAAAGATGAAATCACGATCATTGATTTCAAACAACGGTCCTGATTTCGTTGTATCGCTCTTCATACGTCTGTCTCACGGTTTCGAGCCTTTGAATCAGAACCACTTGATCTTAATTGGACGGCGCACAATGATCCCACATTTATACTATCAGTGCATCAATCATTTCTTACCCAATCAGACAACGCCGCGTGGAAAGGTCGTCTGACTGTGTAGTTAGATGGATTAAATTTTATAGAAAATTAATAGAACTTCAAAAATATATATCTCCTCATTCAGTTGTCCAAATCACATGATCTTAGGCTCTATGGATTCAGCTTAAGGAGTATTATCAAACCCCAATGGTTATTGGTCATGGCCAGTAACACATTAAGCATAATTCCAGAAAAACCCTCTAGCGTATTTCTTGAATTATTCCCATAATATAGGTCACCATGGGATCAAATTGAAGGGAGTGTTTTACACGAACTTTTATTTGGTCCGGTCACAGGATGTAGCTCTACGTTCGGCCGCCAGTAGAATCGCACCACATGTTCTCACTATTCACCGCGCGCCCCGACAACTCGACCCGTAACGGACCCAGGATGGCTCGGTATTTCTCGATTTTGCAAGGTATTACTCGGTATTGCTAGATATTGGTCGATTTTGCTTGGCAATAACCAATACCGAGCAATACCGAGTTTTTCTAGAAAAACTCGGTTTTTCTAGAAAAACTCGGTATTTGCTTGGTATTGGTCTTTACAGAGCGGTATTTCTCGTTATTGCCATGCAATACTTAGCACTACCGCGCAAATACCAAGTAATACCTCGCAATACGTGAACATAGCATTCACGGGTTCCGATCCGGGTTAAGTCGTCGGGCCGCGCGGTAGAGAGTAAGAGCACGTGGTGACATGTTATTGGTGGCCGAACGTAGCTCTACGTCCAGTCAGAGGACGTAATAATTGTTCGTTTTACACATCCAAAAAATTTCAATTCAATTTGAAATTTCATAACCAAGAATCCATAGAGAGTTAGGTGTTGAATTTTGATGCTTATAATATTTATGTTAAAGGGTTTGTTAGCCACCGGTATCACCCAAATCCAATGAGCTTAGCTCTTAAAATAAATTACCAAAAGTACATGTGTATTTAGATTTTGTGCTTAATTTTTCAACCTAAGGAGGCTTTGATGAGTTCAAATTCAATGGTTTGAAGCACATATATTCATTTACCTATGTTTCAAATTTCATTGCATGTGGATGAAATTTGAAACATAGGTAAATGAAATTTGAATATGTGTGTATATATATATATATTGAAGGTGTGACTAAATATCTTCCTTTAGCGTCAAATATTTAACCTTACAAACAAACCAGTCATCTTATTTTAATAAAGTAAAAAATAATTATATAATGAAATAATAATTTATTAAAATTATCAGAAAAAATGAGATTTATAATATGATGACCATCCAAACTTTTTTTGTTAGTACTGATATTCAAAGCTCGTTGACTTTATTAAATTTATATTTTATTTAATATATGGTATTTTGTAATTAATGGGCTAGATTTTTTTTTACACAATAAATATCAAGAAAGCAAAGGGAAATTTATATTATTATGGCCAAGCTTATAGAAATCCCTTCAATAAAAAATTAATATCATATAGAAACAAAAAGTGAAGTGGTCAGACTTTGTGGTTTGCACCACAGTGGGAAGCATCAAACTTAGGTTTCATTTGGGACAATTTTCTTACTGCTTCTTAAAGCGAATTTTTAGATCATTTTGAGAAGCCTTGAATTTCTACATTCATTGAGCATGTACAACTAGACCATTGAGATTGCTATTTACTTGTAATCAATGAGTGTTGTGTACTATTTTAAAGTTTTGATGTCATGAGTTTAACATAGTTCACAAATAGATGTTCCAAACAATTAGATTGACTGAGATAATTATAAAAATATTAGGTCAAATTCATGATTTATCTACAATTGGCAAAGATATGCTATAATCATAGTATCAAATTTATGATTTGTCTACAATTATCATAAATAGTTTATAAATCAAAATCATATTTAAGGCATAGTAGTTTTAGAAAGATGAGAAGAGATGATCGAATTTGAGGAATGAGAATGATGACAATCATCCTCATTTTATTTTCAAAATGGTCTCCTAGCAAAAATAAGGCAAGAAGTAGCTTGTAAGAATTATGAGAAGTCCACATCAAAATTATAAAATATGACCCAATATTTCATAGGGACGATGACATTATTGTCACCCTAGAGAAATTATTTTGTGCGGAGCCCAAACGAGAAGAACTATCCGGATATGTGAGTGTACATATTTATATATAATGTGTATCAAATCATTACAGTCCGAACGGTTCTTTCTGTCCGAACTCCGCGCAAAATAATTTATAGCCCCTAGGACATGCATAAAAATACAAGCTTAAAGGGTGGGTCATTGGGCCAATCAAACTGAATTTGAATGATTATTTAGCCGATTTCGATCAATTCAAAGCCCAATCACACTTGAGTTTCGAAGTTTTTAACACGTTGGAATAAGCAAAGGTAATTCTTATGCAAAGTAATGATATATTCCACTGCTAACACCACTACAGACAAAAGAAGAAATGGTTGAGGAGAAGAAAGCTACCATCTTGCTTTATTCATTGATGATGATCACAACGAGCATCAGCTCTATCATAAGATACAGAATTCAAAACCAACAGTATTATATCAAACCTTCACAGTAGCTTGATCTGCTGCAAGAAGGGAGAGGGCTTCACCAGCACTAGCTCCAGGGGAGAGCCTAAGTTTTCTGTACTCCTTGAACAAGAAAGTCTGATATAGCCGTGGGTGCTCGAAATCGATGAAGTCTTGTTGCGGCTCGACCATGTCATCCTTCGGTGCGAGCATGAACAGTGCAATAGAGATCCTTGGCAAGGCTTCCTTGCATTGCACCCTATGCTTTATATTGTGCAATCTACCATTGCTCCACACCTTCATATAGCACATCATGCAGCTTATGAAAGCTTACACAACAAAATTGTAGTTCAGAGAGACGCAAAATAGTATTGATTGTCATTGGTATAGAATAAAAGCAAGAGGCTGGAAGGTTACAATACACCTTGTACACACCAACAACCTCACTATAAGAGCTGGCCATACTAGTCATTAATTTAGGCTTCGTTTGGGAATACTTTCTTATTGCTTCTTAAAGCAGCTTTCTAGTACAATTTTTTTTTAATTTTTAAACTAAAAAATTATTTTAAGAAGCAATAAAAAAACCGTTCCAAATGAAACCTTAACCACATAGTGGAATACATAGAATGATCTAATGACTAGATTCAATGTTAAGATGCAAAAGATTTTGAACTAAATTCATATTGAATTGTTGAAAAATATAATAGTATAGAGATACCAAATGATTGGCCCTCATTCTTAGGAGAAATTTGCACGTAGTTCTATATGTGGACTACATACAGTTATATAATCACTATAGAACGCGTAATGAGTGCACATTAATACATAGCTTTATACTCTAATTAATGGAGCACACAATGAATGCGTATGTGCGTGCACCTATAAGACTAAAATCCTCATATAGTCCTACTTATGTAGTTCACACTTCATAGTATTTCCACTCATAGACTTAAACTTATAAGGCCCAATTTTGATCCTCATTTGATTCACTCCCTAACAATGAAGACATAACAAGGTACTCATGATGTAAGATTCAACTAGATCAATTCGTTTTTCAAGAAGTGCCAAAATTTATGCTCGTTGAATTTTAAAACATGGTTCTCATCTAAAACAGGTGTCGATGAATAAGAGAATAATCATAAGCTGATTAGCAAGCATAAAAAGTTTTGTTAGCATCTTTTTTTTTTCTGCCCAAAAACATTGAAATTTGCACATATCATGTACTTTAAAGAGAAAATGGCACATACTCCCATGAACAATATTAAGAAACATTAATTTCTGTTTTCTGCTGCTCTTTGTCTATCTTGTGATCAACTCCCCCAGAATTTCGTTATGATTGATGCTTTACTAGCCATGTACTACTGCTTTACAAATAATTTACGAAGATTAAAAAAAATACCAAGTTTACCTTTGCAATATCGCCAAGATTAACAAGAAAGGTACCGGGTACAGGATCAACAACCATAAAATTTCCGGTGGAATCCATGATCTCTAGTCCACCAACAGACTCATCTTCTTGGAGGACAGTAAGAAAGCCGGAATCTGTGTGGATCTGAACGCCAGGAAAACCAACGGTTTCATTGGTGAAGTTATATTTGTTCAGCCTGAACTGGCAAGGCCAGTCCTGAAATGAGTAACCCACTAAACCCAAGCTATCTGCCAGTTTAGATGCTATGTCCACAATCAAATCATGGAGTTTTGAAGCATATGAACTGATTATTTCTCTGCAATGTACATAAAAATGGAGATGGTGCCATAAAAAATAGCGACAATCCACAATAAGTTAGTTGAAGTGATCAACGAATTTGTAGTTCTAAAACAATAAGTAGATGCAATCACTAAAAAGTTAACCTTGAATTAATAGGAACAAACTATGATAGTAAAAACAATCTGAATTATGAACTAATTCACAAATAGAAGAACAGAACTGTAGAGACATTTTCTCTGGACTATAGTCAGAGGTTCCTAAAGTGAATTGCAAAAACTATCGAAGCTAGCTAATTGAGTTGAGCAACATGGAAAGGCAATAAATGACCGACGCTAGCCATAAAAGGGAGCTAAATGAATTACCTATCAGAGGGATGGGATACTAGAGGTCAAGTGGCACACAATATAACTGAAAATGATACCTATCAACCCATAAACTTGAGCTAATGGTAAACTTCATAACTAATATATTACAAACTTTACTCTCAGTTCATATTCAATGTGGGACTATTTCCAATCTCATGTACATCTCAACAAACACTCCCCCTCACATTAGAATTCTCTACATTGAACATCACCATCTCTCAAATGAAAGTTTTTCAATGATATCAAATTTCATGCACTAAAAGTCTACAAAACAATATGGTTCAATATGTTAATTATGTTAATTTTGTGTGGAATCTGATTGTGTCGATCAATCGGGTTGTACTGCTACCTTGAACCTCAATTCCTTTGGTCGAGCTAATCGGGGGTTTGCAAGGGGTCATCTCTTTGCTTGAGTTGGGGTTCTTTACAACAAAATTTTTATTAACGTACAATCGTATAGCATTGTTGAGCTGTGTACTTGAGCGCTGCGGCGCTGTATTGTCTGGTTGGAGGTAGACAGAGAGCGGAGCACTGCGGCACTATCAGATAGGCTCGAGACAGATAGTTAAGCATCGCGACACTCCAAACTTGGTGTCGCGGCGCTGCGAGATGGGGTAGCAGTTTTCTTACTCATTTTTCATGAAGGGTTGCCTCCTTAAATGTTTTTTTTTTTTTCAATCTCTTTGTTAGTTCTAGTAAGAGAATGGTGTAAGGGTGAAGAGAGACAATGCGAGAGTTAGAGAGAAGAGAGATCTATAATTTTTTTTTCAAATTTTTATAGTGAATTTCTTGGTGTGGTGGGTTCGTGTTTTTTCCCTATTTTGGAATTTTTCAAGTTAAATCTTGATGTTTCCTTTTTGCTATAACTTTCTATTTCTTATTTGTTTCGATACGTGATTTTAATTCCCCAACAAATCACTGAACCTTAAACCTTACTTAACCATGACAAAAGTAGCTAAGTCCCATAGGAGTCACATGCCACATGAACCACTCAATCCAAATCGAACCAACAGCTTTGATATCACCTGTTATGAGATTAGAATACCACAAGAATTTTGAGTTCATTAACTAAAAATTCATGTCAACATGTAAGGCAGGATCACTATTAGTATATTAGGAACTCAGCTTTTATCCATACATCTCTTCTTCTCCTCCTCCTTTTTTCTTTGTTTTCTAAGATTTGAAACCAAACCATCATTATGGAAGGGGCAATACCACACTAGGTTACATGCTGTGGAACTTATGAACTAGACAACAACAAAATCATCGGCTTTGACATTAAAAATTGGCTTTGGCACTCTCAGTGGGACCAAATATATCAGTATATGGTCACACATCAACCTAAAAGACTTAAGCTGATGGGTAAAAAACACTACAACTATATTAAGTGCACAGCGTTTGTTACATATACGAGGTTGGAGTCTATTCAGGACTCTCATGTGGTTCTCAACATCAATAAATTCTACTATAGTTGTGCAATAATGACCTGAAACCATAAATTCACAATTTTATAGGCTGTTTGGAGACAGAATTTAAGCAGGACTTGTGTTAAATCCTGCCAAACGAAAAAAAAAAAAAAGGTGACTGCTCAAATTTCACGATATGTTAAACCCTAATGTAACAGATATGCCAAACAGCCCAATAGGATTAATTAGCAACTTTACGGAGCAAACAGTTCTTCAAATAAGTTCACACAGCACAAAATGTAACAGAAATCCAAATCATGAAAAAAAAAAAAAAAACTCGAAAAAAAAAAAAAGGAAACCTAAACTGATAAGCAAACCACTTTCTAAAAGAGGTAAAAAAAAGATTAGTGAAAAATGCGATATTTAATCTTGAAATCGAAAGCCAGGACATAAAAGAATAGTAAAAAAGAAGCAAAGATAAAAGAAAAAAGCGAATCGCACTGATGGAATGGGGAGGCTTCCAAGAGGGAGCAGAAAGCGCGAACATCAGAAGTGGAAGCTGCATTGTAGAGGCCGAATGCCTCGTAGAAGGGGTTTCTCGTAGAGGGCGGCATGTATCCGCTTCCAGGGATTATCTCGACGTTACGAAGCTTAGCCTCAGCCGAGATCTCGAATAGGGATCGGACGGCGGCCTTCATGTCGGCTCGCATAGCCTCTGGGATGCCGTGGTTGACGACCCGGAAGCAGCCCAACACCGTGCTCGCCGCCGCCAGTTTGCTCCTCTCTGATGGGAAGTCCGTGAGATCGATCACCGGCACCGAAATCGTATTCTCCTGCATATCCGATTTCCTTTCCCGTTCGATTTTTCTTTCTCTTGGAGAGATCTGCTAGATGGCATAAGTTCTTCGACCTTCTTCTGCTTGGAAGGTCTGGTAAAGAGGGAACAATAATGGCGATTGTTATGGAATGTTGCGGTTTCGGAGCAGACAAGCTTTATTAAGCCGTTGAACTTCGCGCGTTTGCATACATCAATCATTTGAAAATTTGGTATCTGTCTTCTGCCTTTCGACTAGCAATTGACTACTTCGTTCTTATAAATTTTTATTTATTTCTTTTCAAAATAAAAATAAAAATAAAAAAAAAACTTGTTTATTTCTCAGCATATTAAGATCAACAATGATTTATAAAGATTATACAGATATATATCAAAATAAAATTAAAAAAAAAATCAAAAGAGAAGAAATCTGACTGGGAGAATAACCCTCACAAAAATACAAATAAAATAGGTTGAGCATCCCAGCCATACAAAAAGTTAAGCATCAAAGAGTTGGCCATAGCCGAGAATAGGGGTGTCAATATTGGACCCGACCCGAAAATTTCAGGTTTGGGTTGACCCGAACCCGAAATGGGTCGGGTTCGGGTTCAATAAATAGACCCGTTTCAAAAATTGGGTCGGGTTGACCCGTCGACCCGAAAATAACCCGTTTTTGACCCGATAACCCTTTTTTGACCCGGGAATCCGAGATTAACCCGTTCTTGACCAGAAAAAAGGAGTTTGAATCGTTTTTGGACCCGAAAACTAGCAGTTTTTGTTCGAATTGGGTCATTCGGGTTGGGTCTGGTTGACCCGGACCTGAAGCGGGTCGGGTTCGGGTCCGAAAAACCGACCCGTTTACAGAAACGAGTCGAGTTTGGGTTGACCCGAATAGTACCGGGTCAGTTTCGGGTTCGGCCCGAACCCGACCCGTGACCTGAAATTGACAGCCCTAGCCGAGAATGCTTAAAAACTACTAGTTGGTTGCCCTAATTATAGAAAAGACTGCGAACAAGGTTAGGAGAGAACAAGTGCCCATCGTCATCAGCCCCAAATAGATAAATTAAAGTTAAATTGTCAGTTCCATGAGAGGGGAACAATAATGGCGATTGTTATGGAATGTTGCGGTTTCGGAGCAGACAAGCTTTATTAAGCCGTTGAACTTCGCGCGTTTGCATACATCAATCATTTGAAAATTTGGTATCTGTCTTCTGCCTTTCGACTAGTAATTGACTACTTCGTGCTTATAAATTTGTATTTATTTATTTTCAAAATAATAAAAAAAAAACTTGATTATTTCTCAGCATATTAAGATCAACAATGATTTATAAAGATTATACAGATATATATCAAAATAAAATTAAAAAAAAAAAAATCAAAAGAGAAGAAATCTGACTGGGAGAATAACCCTCACAAAAAATACAAATAAAATAGGTTGAGCATCCCAGCCATACAAAAAGTTAAGCATCAAAGAATTAGCCACAGCCGAAAATGCTTAAAAACTACTAGTTGGTTGCCCTAATTATAGAGAAAACTGCGAACAAGGTTAGGAGAGTCCAAGTGCCCATCGTCATCAGCCCCAAATAGATAAAACAAAGTTAAATTGTTAGTTCCATGAGAGTAGGGCGAATCCCCCTTAAGCTCAGGAGAGGCAATTCTTTAGAGAATTTGTTCTTCTCCATTTATTTTTTTAATCTTTATTACAAGGGTTTTTAGTATCACAGTATTGAAAAAATTGCATGATTATTTTCAAAAAGGAGATGCAGAATAGTCAAAGAGCATCCAAAAAGAAATGCATTTAGGCATTTACTAGTAAGGTAGATACATAAATAGTAATTATTTTCACATGAAACACAAATAATTTTAACATAAAATAATAATAGAGGGTAACAATAAAAGAGAGACCAAGGCCCACCTTGTCTCTTGGCAGACGAATGGTTTCCCAAGATATCATATGTAATTGTTGTGTAGAAGAAATTAATGTTCAGTTGGAATAATTTCTAAATTGAAATAAGTTTTTATTCAGAAAGCTTTTAATGGTTCGTTTTTTTAATTGATTAGGAAATAGATTATTTCTCTTATTAGGTTGATTTAATTGGAGATTTGATTGATGCATTAATTAGGGATTTGATTGATGCATTAATTAGGAGATCTAATGATTGCATTAATTAAGGATTTGATTAAGATTATATTAGAAAGTTTTTTTTTCTAATTTATTTTGGCTCAAATCTATAAATAAAACCCTGGGAGCTACTTTTGAATGTAATGTATGAGAGAAGAGAGAACTTGAGAGCCTATTGTAATCTGTATTGTTCTCCAATTTAATGAAATCATCGTCTCCTCTCCGTGGACGTAGGCATCTTCGCTGAACCACGTAAATCATCGTGTTTATTGTGTTTGTGTTGTGTGAATTTTGTTTCCGTTGCAATTGTTTGCACAGCAAGTAAGGCAATGCTTATTGATTAACTAGATGCAATCTTTAGGAAAGAAGAAGGATCTATCCAATAGGCAATACATTCCAAATAAAGAACTTAAGGAGCTAATATCTCCCTACTAAAGAGAGGCATTTAGCTTTTGGACCATCCATAGTAGAACTGATTTTATCTAGAAGGGGTTGGAAATCCACCAATATAAGTCCAAGCAAAGAAATGAGCAACCCAATGTAAGTGAAAAATGAGGGAAAGTGGGTAGATTCATCTGAAGTTTTGAAGTTGGTTGTACTTTTGGAAAAATAGATAAAGCTTTTGCTATAGCTGATCCCTAGTTTTGAGACTCCATTGTAGCCACTCAAGAATTTTTAATGATATACTAAATTATAGATAGAAGACTTCCCAAGCACAATAATGCCATATGCATAGAGAAGCTAGGAGAAATATTTGCCTTGAGGAGAGGTGATGGCTGGGTAATCTTCCTTAGTAATATAATCTTTTTAATAAGTTGGAGAAATCATCCATAGCCAAGTAAGAAAGTTAAAAAGAGAGTGGGTAACTTTTGGTGAAATCCATGGGAAGAGGTAGAGAAACATTTGAATCAATAGAATAGTTGACAAGAATGTGGGAAGTATTTTCTCAATAGATATAAACCTTCCAGAATGGGCTGAGGGGAGGGTGATATTCAAAAGGCCCTTAAAATATGTAATAGAGATAAAGAAGAAGAACGAGAAGAAAACACTATCATAAGCCTTAAAATGGACTCGTTCCATGCTTAAATTAGAGGTGTAAATGAGTCAAACGGACTTATGAGTGGGCTCAGGCTTGGCTGGAAAAATGGCTTGTGAGCCAAGCTTATTGAGCTTATGGGATAATGAACCAAAATTGAGCTAGCCTTATCTCGACTCGTTAGCTCAGTTATATCAATATTTGAAAGATAAAAAGAGAATATCATAAGGATGCGAGAACTTCAAAGAATGAAGACGTGACTGAATATCCTTACAAGCGAGTGGATGGGATTAGTGGTTTGAGTCCAAAAAGCTGTTCATACCCTTCTGATACATAAATGATTCCTTTCAATAGACTGTTCTAGTCAATTCACCTTTTGCGTCTCAATATTTATTGTAATTGGATAATATTTGGGTTGAACTTTAGGAAGTTTGGAAACTAAAAAAATGTCTTCTTTGTTCAAGTCGCATCTGACACGCTTTCCACCACACTTAAGATCAGGTCAATCATGTTTTAAGATAAAAATTACATTCAAATATACGATCGGTTTAGGATAGCTTTTAGTTGCTTTGTTTTTAAGACAACAACAACTTTTTTGTTTGTTTATTGCTTTTCAGACATTTCTATGATTTATAATCAGAATTGTTAAGTTATAACCACAATTGTAAGTTATTTTTCCTATAGCAACTTCACAATCAACTTATAAATTGTTGCGGTGGTCCCAAACAAACTGATAGCACAATATGATCTGAACATCATCTATGAGATATCAATGCATGCACAAATATGTGACAACTAAGGCCTCGTTTGTTTAAGCATTTTATCCCTTTTTATTTACAAACAGCGAAATTATTTTTTGGTCGCTCTTTGGATGGAGCGCTTCAATAGAAATGCTTTTTAGGAAACTTCATTTTTATACTATTTTGAGAAGTTTTTTTATATTTGCTTCTCCATTAAAAAATTCTATTCCCTTAACCAAAATTTCTAAAACTACCTTTTACAACATTAGAGAAATAACCAAGCGAAGCCTAATAATATTTGATGATAGCTAATGCTGGGATATTGTTAGCAAATGATAATAATAATAATAATAATAATTATTATTATTATTATTATTATTATTATATAATGATCCTCGCGATAAATATATCTCTTATTATTGTTATATTTATTTTATGAAATATATGTAGATAATATTATCAAATGACAAGTTGACACAGGGAATTGTGATTTCACAGGATTAGTATCATTTAACTTCAGAAAAATTTAGATATCATTTAAACACGTAGGGTTTGGCAAAGTGTGAGTTAGTCACAAAGTAATTCAATTTATCATTTCTCATCTTTTAAATTATTTAAATTTTGTATTAATTTTGAAATAACGGATAAAGAAAGAAAAAAAAAACATCATATAATTTCCTTAAATTTTATTGCATTATTTTCTTTTACTCCTGTTCATGATTTTCACATTTTATTATTACTTTAATTACAAAGGCCAAAACATAGTATATTGCACTGAATTGTTTATATTTTCCTACCTTGATCCAATAAGACTCCATGTAAAATGCACAAATCCTATAAAGTGAGTTTCTATATAGCAAGTGAGAAACAAGACAATTCAAGGCTGGCATCTAGCCAATATGATGGTAAACCATGGCCATTATGTGAAATGCTTTCAACCTTTGAAGCGATATTTATTTACCTTTCTACTGAATTCAGTTCATCATCTTATGGGCAAAATAGACTTATCAGAAAGTTGACCATCATTAACATCCATCTTTTTAGCAGGCAAGAGTCCCTTTTTCTTAAGAGGGATTTAGTACTCAAAATTTTCTCATTCACATATTTAACACTTAAACTTCAACAAAAATATCACTTAACCCCAAATGCCGTCCAAACCTAGTCTCGCAAGTCAGATACCCTTTCACACACCAACAGTCTCTTCATCGTCACCACCTTTGCACAACCCTACTCCCATCATTTTTGTCACACTCCACGAGCCGACAAAGCATAAGCAAGTTGCAACTGAGCTCACTAGGGCAACACGCCAATTGCAATGGAACTTTCAAGGGCAAGTTATCAACGGAACTGGCGCAAGGAGAAGGAGCTCACAACAAAGCTCTCTAGGCCAAGACATCGATGACGCTGACACGGGTAGTTGCAACGAAGTTCGCTATGGCAACACATCGATGGGACCAGAAAAGAAAGTCACAGCGAAACTCAACTAATGGAGTTAAGAAGGTGGCAGATTATGTAAGAACTCAACTAATGGAGTTAATAAGGTGATAGATTATGTAAATATTGAGATTTAGACGCTAATATGTAATTGAGAAAATTTTGAGTGCTATATATGTAAATACCCTTTTACTAATACTGGGTTTTTGCCAACCATATGATAAAATTTAATATGAAT